ATTTGGCCTCATATGCAGGTTTCATTCAAATGCAACACATATCCCCTAATACACATACACTAAGTTAGATTCACTGAACTCATTAACCCCCAGTTAGTCATGTCCATTAATTTCAAATGGCCTACTATGATTAATCTTGTATAAAATCAGCATGAATATAAGCACACACAGAGAGACACTTTGGATTGTTGTGGTTGCCAGTGAGGGCATGTAATGAAATGTGGGGGATAAGTATGTGGGGACAATTTATCAACCTCCAGAATGATCCCAACAGATTTAGAGAATGTGGCTTTTCATGGGAGAATAACTACTTCAGATGTAATTTTTTATAAAAAAAATTATTGTCTTCTATGGTTCTATTATTTGCCTCAACCTTGCAAGAATTCAGATGATGATGAAAATTGCAGATCCTTGTTGTCATTGCTTGTTACAGATCAGTGCCTAAGAACTACCAACATATTCTGGCTTTAGCATTTGCGGTCAAAGAGATCAATGAGAATCCCACAATCTTGTCAAATATCTCTCTTGGCTTCCACATCCTCAATAGTTACTTCAATGCAAGGATGACCTACAAGGCCACTCTGAGCCTCCTTTCCACACAACAAAGGTTTGTTCCCCAACTTCAGCTGTCACAACCAGAATAATATGATATCACTCATTGGAGGATGTTTCTCTGAGATCTCTGCTAACATTGCAGTGATTTTAGCAAGCAAGAAGACTCCTCAGGTATGTTTAGTGCATGAGGGTGGAACAGGATACTCTGTTAGTCCTCTTCAAATGATTTATCAATTAGTCCTCTTCAAGTGAAGGGAGTGTTACAGGGTTCTGTACTGAACTCAAAACATCTCCCCCCCCCCAAAAAAAAAACCCCACACAGAACAAGAATTCTAAGTGACTTAGATGAAGAGGTGGAAGTGATTCCCATGTCATAAAACTGGGAAGAAAAATAAACACCTCAGAATGCAGGGGTAAAACTGAAATTTGCTGGCCAGGTGGTGGATATGCCAAATTGCTGACTGGTTGCAATAAGAAACTGGAAGAGGACCAGGAAGTTGTAGGTTAATCCAAACATGAAGTGGGTTCTGCCTGTGGGTGGTTCTGCTGTCTACCTGAATGGTATGTAGCTTGCTCTAGAGATCGATTATTCTCCCTATGAAACACTGGGAAGAGTTAGGTGGTCATCCTGGATCGAGTGTTGTTAATTATGGCTCAGATGGTCTAAGTGGTAATGAGTGCCTTGCAACAGCTTTGCCTCATGGTCAAACATAATAATAATAATTATTAATAATAATAATAATAATAATAATAATAATAATAATAATAATAATAATAAACCTTTATTGTCACTACACCACCTGTGTGCAGTGAAATTAAATGAGCCCCCTTCCCCCACACACATACACTCAGCCTTGTTTGTGTTCTGTGTGCTTGCTGGAAGTCAATTACACCACTATTTTTTTCCATTCAGCAACCCAACAGCCCACAGATAAAAACTGTTCTTTAACCTGTTGGTGCGGCTGACTATACTTCTGTATCTCCTGCCCATAGTTAGGAGATTAAAGAAGTGCTGGCCAGGGTGTGAGATGTCCCTAAGAATTTTCCTCGCTCTCCTGAGGCAGTGGTCTCCCACGATGTCATCTAGCGAACTCGGGGAAAGCCCATGATATCATGTGCTGTATTCGCCACCCTCTGTAGGGACTTCCTATCCATGGCTGAAGAACCTGGCTGTAGTTGTGGGCCAGGCCCATTATGTCAGGACAGGAATGACCAAAAGGTCAATGTGGGTCAAATCTTTATTGATTACAACCTGTAAGCTGGATTGGTGTGGCATTGTGGCTTTCCCTTTTTTGAATATCGGTGTTATTTTTGATACAACTCACCCCAGCTCACGAGCTGAGGAATGCCCACAGAAATTTAGCACTTGAGAAGACCCAATGTGATGTTGGTCCATGTGACTGGGATCTCTCTGGCAAGCTGAGGTGAGCGATATCTGGCCTGTCTCTATCCAAGCCACTGGCAGGAGCTGATTTTTAAACACCAGATCCCATCTTACATTTGAGATTCTGTGCATGAAAAATAGAACTTGAGGAAGGGATGTAATAGTACATGTGAAAACCAGAATACCTGTCATATATCAGGCTAAAGGTAATTCTAGACTATCTCTGTGACATTACTAGATTTTGTTTCATCATTTGTAGAACCATTTTAATATTAAATGAAGTTCACAAGTGGAACCAATGTAGTACTTAAGCTCTCCTGCATTAGAAGTTTTCAAGTGGAAGCTAGGTCGACATCTGCTAGGGATGCTCTATTATTCTAAGATATAACATTCTCTTTGTCTGAAAAATTGTGTTAATTTTTCTTTCAGCTCACTTATGGAACATTTTTACCATCAGAGGATGAGAAAATGTATTTCCCTTTATTGTACCGCATGGTCCCAAATGAAGCCCACCAGTACATGGGAGCTGTCCGGTTATTTCAGCATTTTGGATGGACATGGGTTGGGCTCTTGGCTGTGGACAATGACAAAGGGGACCGGTTTTTGCAGACAATGCTGCCTTTGCTTTCTGAGAATGGCATCTGTTCCGCATTCGTAATTAGACTACCACAATGGAGTTTTGTGGACCAACTGATAGAGTTGTTTCTGGACCATGTGCAAAGCTATGCAATGATCTTTCAAGGTAAAGCAAATGCATTATTTATATATGGAGAAAACCCATCTTTTCAAGTTTTGAGAATATTGCTATTTCTAATGCCCTTCACTAGCTGGCCTCCTCTGGAGAAAGTATGGATTATTACATCTCACTGGGATTTCATATCGATGTCCCTTCAAAAGAATTGGGAAATGCAAACATTCCATGGATCCTTATCCTTCACTGTTCACTCAGATCAGCCATTAGGATTCCAAAAATTCATTCAAACATTAAATCCTTCCTGGTCGAAAGAAGATGGTTTTATCCAGGACTTCTGGGAACAGGCCTTCAACTGTTCATTAAAAATGCTCATGGAGGATGAGGAGAGTGCCTGTACTGGAGAGGAAAAGCTGGAGAGCATTCCTGGAATATTATTTGAAATGAAAATGACAGGCCACAGCTACAGTATCTACAATGCTGTCTATGCTGTTGCACATGCTTTGCAAGCCATTTACAAATCCACCTCAAAGCATAGAAGTTTGGATAAAACGAACAGATTGCTATTACAGAACGTGAAACCGTGGCAGGTAATTATAGTTCTCTTCTTTAAAAGGGTGGTAGGAAGGTAAGCTACCTTTTAATGCAGAGGTAAAAGGAACAGTTACACAAAAGAGTCTACTAAAGTTGTTTCATGGATGTTTTTGTTGTGTATTAACGCAGCTTTAAATGTGGGAGGTGGGTATTCCAGGATTTGCAACTATTCTTATGTAAGAATGAAAACTCAATATTTGTTTGTTTAAAAGCACTTTGTGAATCTCATTGAAATCATTTAAAACACAGTGATGGCATTCTTCATATTCATTTTGAGGTTCATCATTTTCTTAGAAGCATCTTATTCAATAACAGTGTTGGAGACACTATCCACTTTAATGAAGATAGAGAATTAGTTGCAGGCTATGATATTACAAACTGGATGATGTTCCCCAATGGCTCAGTGGTCAGAGTAAAAGTTGGAAAGCTAGAACCTCAGGCTCCTCCAGGCAGTGAACTGACCATTAATTATGACCAAATTATGTGGCATCATGGCTTTAATCAGGTAAGACATAAGGTGCATTCACATATTATGTTGTACCTTAGTACAAGTAACCCATACCTGACTTCAACTACACTTAAGGAAGATTCCACACACACTGATTTTAAAAATCACAATGTTCCTTGCTTCTGTCTTGATCTTTCCCTGCATTCTCTCTATGTGACTTTGTTCAGCTGCAAACTTCTCCCATGGCAAATGCTTGGATATATGATAATGATAATGATAATTTATTTACTTATACATATCCCGCCCATCTGGCTGGGTTTCCCTAGCCACTCTGGGTGGCCTCCAACAAAATATTAAAAATACAATACAACATCAGACATTAAAAACTTCCCTAAACAGGGCTGCCTTCAGATGTCTTCTAAAAGTCAGATAGTTGTTTATTTCCTTGACATCTGATTGATGCTGGACCTCAATGTCTGGAGCTGAATGATGAGGGTGGGGACGCTCCTTCAAGTATAAGAGGGAAAATGCCAATTCATCATTTTACCATCTCTTCAGGTACAGAATTATTCTTAGGGTCCCCCCCCCTTATTCCTCTTCTTTCTCAATGTATAATCAAAGTGTTATGATATCAAACTTTTCTACTTCCAAATTAACTGGTAGGTCCTTTATTTATTTTTCTAAGCTCATGATTGCATTTCCTTTAATATACAAGTAACCCAGCAAATGCCTCCCCAACAGTCATCTTTAAAATTGCTGCTATGTTACATCAAGGAATTTGAAAAATCATATTCCAAACCATCAATAATCCTTCAAAAAGTCATAGGATCTATCCTTACATAATTAATTAAGTCTCATCTGCAAAGTGCCTTTATCACCTCCCAACTTATTTCTATATCCTGGGCATCAGAGCAGCAGTTACTTTAAATGGTCATCTTCAGAGTTGGAGCTTTACTCTTAGTAATAAAACTTGTTACTCAGATGTAATTCTGGTTAGGTGTGGAGAAAGCAGCTCTGCACAGGTTTGAGTTTTGTCTACTCTCTTTTTTCCACTTTGAAAAACAGCTCTATCAGACTATGTGATCTGAAGCTCCCCCATTAACAAGTTTTTCAAAAGTATCTGGCATTTCCTTCCAAACTGTTTTTTTCTATTGTTAGCTACTCTGTGATCTTTGGAGGTAGGGCAGTATAAACATGTAATAAATAAAAGATGAAATATAAATAAATTATCTAAAGCTCGCCTCACTATTTGGAGGCCCATCATTCTATAGCCCAAACCCCAATTTTTACTGCTGATCATCCTTCATGGTTCTGTGCAGGTGCTCCCAGTTTCTGTGTGCAACGACAATTGTTATCCTGGCTACAGCAGAAAGAAGAAGGAGGGAGAGAAATTTTGCTGCTATGATTGTGCTGCATGTCCAGAAGGAATGATCTCCAGCAAAATAGGTAGGAGACATGTGGACTCAGCTGCATTAGTCAAAATACAGCATTATAAATGTGTTATAACACTGTGACAGCAGTGCAGCTGAAATCACAACTCAATGATATTTTCAATATCAACCACTTTTTACAGAGCATTTTCAGAGTGTTTTTATAGCTAAGTAGATCTAACCATAATGTACAGATGTACCAAACGATTTCCATAAAGTAATATATTTATTTATTCATTGCAGTGAAAATAGGGAAAAGGGTGGTGATGACACAGAAATCAAAAGGCTAAGATCCATTTTGAAATGTATATTTTGAATACATCAGTGGAAGATCAATGAATAATAATAGCATAATAATAACAAAGAGTAATAAACATGGATTAAAACTAAGGAAGGCAGAAATATTGAGCCATATATGCAAATAATGATTACATGGAAGAACACAATAATTCTGGCATGCAAAAAATAATATTTTTAAACTGTTATACAGCTTCACTTCTACTTATTACCTAAAATTTCCACCTGCGCAAACTGCTTAAAAGCTTTGCTTGTTCCATCTATATAGTAATGTATGCAAAATATTAAGGAAAATGGAAAGAATATGATACCTACCTGTCAAAGGACAGACTCAATTACTCACCTGAAAACAAGCCAAAATCAAAAAGAAAATACATCCAAAATTGTTTATAGGCCCAAGCGCCAACCCCAAAGAACTTGCATAGAAAAGAATAAGTTCAAACAATTTCCAAATGGACAAGTTCAAAGTATTAAACCACCAAAAGGCAAATGGGTCCCCAAAGGCTTTGAAACAAGTGTGCATGTGCACTCATGCCCACATGTGTGTGAGAAACTTCAAGTGAAGCCAAAAATAAGCAAAGTGAAAGAAGTGAGCTTCAACACAGAGTAGATGCTCTTTTGGATCCCAAATGACAGCCTAAATATTCTGAATTCACAAAGCTCAACCAGCACTGCTAGCCATATGGAGTAACAAATCCTATCCCTTCTTCACATAGGTGCATTGTTTAAGCTTGATTTAGGCATCATCAGCATTTTGACACCTGGAAATACAACCACTGATGCTTTTTAATATAAATAAATGTCTCTTTCATTTTTCAGATATGGATGCCTGTGTTGAATGTCCAGAAGATCAGTATCCCAACAAGGACCAAACTAAATGCATTCCAAGAGTTGTAAGCTACCTCTCTTACAAAGAAAATTTAGGGATCATCTTAGCTACCTTGGCTATTGCTTTCTCTTTGATCACAGCTTTTGTATTTATAACTTTTATTAAACACAAGGACACCCCAATAGTGAAAGCCAACAACCGAACCCTCACCTACATGCTCCTCATCTCTCTTCTTCTTTGCTTCCTTTGTTCCTTGCTCTTCATTGGACAGCCTGGAAAGGTGACATGCATTCTCCGACAAACAGCTTTTGGCATCATCTTCTCTTTAGCCCTTTCTTCAGTGCTGGCAAAGACCATCACTGTGGTTCTGGCATTCATGGCAACCAAACCAGGAGCCAAGATGCGGAAATGGGTGGGGAAAGGAGTAGCAAATTCTATTGTTATTTTTTGTTCCTTTGCTCAAGCTGGCATTTGTACTGTTTGGTTATGTACTTACCCTCCGTTCCCAGATACAGACATGCACTCATCATATGGAAATATGATATTGCAATGTAATGAAGGTTCAGCTACCATGTTTTACTGTGTTTTAGGCTATATGGGTTCCCTGGCCATAATCAGCTTCGTTGTGGCTTTTCTTGCCAGGAAGTTACCTGACAGCTTCAATGAGGCCAAGTTTATCACTTTCAGCATGTTGGTGTTTTGTAGTGTGTGGCTTTCCTTTGTTCCAACCTATCTGAGCACCAAAGGAAAATACATGGTGGCTGTGGAGATCTTCTCCATCTTATGTTCCAGTGCCGGATTACTGGGTTGCATCTTTTCCCCAAAATGCTACATTATTCTGCTGAGGCCTGAGCTGAACAGCAGGGAACACCTCATGAGGAAAATAAAATAAAATATATAAGTGCATCTCTTTGGTTTTTTATTTATTTATATTAAGGCTGGGGGCGGGAATAATGTGTTGGTAGATATCCCAACAGAATTCAAGCAAGGGTGCAGGCATCTCTCCTTAAATTCCTGTGAATAGACTTGAATCCACCTCTGACATGAAATGCAGTTATGTGGTTGATAAGGGGGGCATATTCATTTAAAATTGTGCCAGGTATTTGCTCCAAGTTATGCCTACAAAGTTGGAACAATTATATATATATATATATATATGCAGGTTTTGGTGTCCTCGGGTGTCTTCCCGTGTAAAAGTTGGGGTGTCTAGGCGACGTTTCGACGAGGTCTCACTCGTCATCTTCAGGCTGGTGCTTTCGGCTTCTTGTTACTGGAACAGAGCAGGATCTCAGTGTTTGAGTTCCTATAAATACTGTTGAGGGGGTGTGGTGTATAGCCTCCAATGTTCTGGGCAGAGAGGAAGTTCCCAGGCTAGTGTGCCTATTCTTCTTTTGTTCCTTAATTACTTGAGGGATATCTTGAGTGATTTCTTGAGTGATATTCTGAGTACCACTTAGGTGGGTCATTAGGTGTGGATTAGTTGCTCAAGCCTTCGTGTCTTGACCTCTTGAACTTTGTGAAAAGTTTTTCTGAGAAGATGGCTGTACTGCACTTAGTTGTGCTCTGGCTTGGCTTCGGGTATAGGGGCGAGCTGTGGTTTTGTGCCCTGTGCCAGTCAGATCTGTGTAGGGATTGCAGGGGGGTGCAAAAAAAAAAAAAAAACTTTTCACAAAGTTCAAGAGGTCAAGACACGAAGGCTTGAGCAACTAATCCACACCTAATGACCCACCTAAGTGGTACTCAGAATATCACTCAAGAAATCACTCAAGATATCCCTCAAGTAATTAAGGAACAAAAGAAGAATAGGCACACTAGCCTGGGAACTTCCTCTCTGCCCAGAACATTGGAGGCTATACACCACACCCCCTCAACAGTATTTATAGGAACTCAAACACTGAGATCCTGCTCTGTTCCAGTAACAAGAAGCCGAAAGCACCAGCCTGAAGATGACGAGTGAGACCTCGTCGAAACGTCGCCTAGACACCCCAACTTTTACACGGGAAGACACCCGAGGACACCAAAACCTGCATATATATATATATATATATATATATATATATATATATATATGGTATTTAATTGCTCACTTTTGCAGCTCAACCTTCTAAAACTAAATGTGTTATATTGGCTCATAAAAAATTATATCTTCTCATAAACATGTCACGGCTTAAAATTAGCCGCTGCTTGTTTAATACAAACGGAACTGAATCAGCATGAGTCAGCGGCCTACAATGAATCGGCAAAGCCTGCATGACTCATGTAACCTTTCACCTGCATATGCCTGTATTTATAGAGTGGTCATTGATTGTGTGTGTGGTAGGTTGGTTGGATGGTAGAAAGCTGGTTGCATTTGATATGTATAAAGCTGCCGGTCGTAGTTGGAGAAGACTTTTTTTTTAAGAATAAAAGCAGCATTCTGCAAAGTCCTCTTTCTCAAGGACTCTTTGTGCCAACTAGGGTCTGAGGACCAGGCAAAGGAGGCAAAGGAAGTCAAAACATTTTTCCTTTTTTTGAAACACTAACAAAACATGTAGGACAATTCAGAATATGCAAAGGCAGTTTGAAGGAAAGAGAATACTGCTGTGAAGTATAAGGACACTTTGACCAAGTCATGCACATCTGCCCTACAGGTAGAGATGTGCTGGTTTGCAGTCACTGCCTATCTGTTGAATAGCAGCATATTAAGCAATGCATATCAAGTAGTGTAGATCTTTAAAAAATCAAAACTATTTTTTTCATGTTAGCCCCTTGTTACAATGTTCAGTTCCATCACCCTCTTCTCTGGTGCTTTGCACACGCCTCTGGCACACAATTTCCGTTCACATCCTGGGACAAAGTTCGCAACAACAAGGAGCAGCTACTTCCAGGTTAGCGGAGTTCGTAACCAGAAGTGTTCGTAAGCAGAGGTACCACTGTATTTCATCTTTTGATGACAGATTTAAAAACCCACAATGCTTTGTTTGAAATGCTTTGTTTGAAAGCTTGAGATTGTGGTAACAAACACCCCAATATACATAAGTTCAGATATGGGTTCATTGATGTGTAGGCCTGGCACTTTGCCAAAATTATTCAATTATTTCAGAACTTCAGGTATTGCCCTTTCCAACTTTAATAACATGAACCACCTTATTCTGACATTATTTTAACCACAAAAAAGTATACTGTGAGTACTTTGTTTGCCCATTAAGTCATTCACTTCTGAAATATTTACTGGTCACAACTCATGAATTTGGTGTGGATTACATACGTTCCTATGAACAGCTCCTGTATCAAAGCACTGTCTCGCTGTAATAAAACTCACATTCGTGTGGACAAATGCACTGGGAATTTTCAGGTTTCCACCTTTTCCTTTGCACATTAAAAAAATAGCATTGATATGTTTAGTTTAACAAGTATACATGGAGATTTGAAATTACTCACCCACAGAGGCAAGTGTGAGGCAGTAAATAAAATACACTGTTCAGGAACACTGATGAACACAGAGGAATATAAGTTAAGGAAATAGTGGTGTTTGCATCTTAGGAAATATCTGCCATAATTCAAGGAAACCAATAATAGTGCTATAGATGTAAACATGGGAATCGACATTTGGATACAATGTTTCTTCAGCAGGATAATGCTTATAGTGGTGGTGCTCCTCATACTGCTGTGTCACACTGTGACCAAGACACACTGTGTGTAGCATATATGATGATCCCCTCCCTATTCCTCATAAATTTTACCAGCCAGATGACCTCATCATCGGGGAAATGGTTTCCCAGGTCCTCTTCAACTATGATAACCTCCATTTCACAGAACAGCCTGCCCAGATGCTGTTCAATGAATCTCTGTAAGCCATTAGTTTTGTTCTCTCTCCCGAGACCAGGGAGAAGAGTCGGTGAAAGAAGACTGGAAGAAATTTAAAGACTATTTACAGAAATATTGTAAAATTAATGAATGTTAGAAGGATGTTGGATAGAAACTAAGTGGTTTCCAGCTGTAATGCTTTAAGAGATAGGAAAAAAGGTTTACCCATTTACAAATGGGTAAAAGCTTAATGGTAAGGATTTGCTGAACTAACAAACTGAAGTGGAATACAAAAAAGGGAGGTACGAGGAGGTCCGGGGAAATGAGTGTAAGGAAGATATGTTATGGAAAATTAATGTGTTTTTTTGACTGTTTTTATTTTGTATGTTTTTTTTATTTTTCATTTTTACTGTTATACTTTAAAAACTTTAATAAATATCTTTTTTAAAAAAGAGTTTTGTTCTCTCTCTCTCTCTCTCTCTCTCTCTCTCTCTCTCACTCTCACTTTCATTCTGTAAAATGCTTGGACCATTAAAATGGAAAGCATATCATAGTATAATAATGTGCATCAATAAGAATTTATATACTGGTATGAGAACAATGGAATTTGATCAAACTTCCATCTTGGTACAGTGGTGCCTCGCAAGACGAAAATAATCCATTCTGTGATTCTCTTCGTCTAGCGGTTTTTTCGTCTTGCAAAGCAAGCCCATTGACGGATTAGCGGATTAGCGCTATTAGCACTATTAGCGGCTTTTAGCGGCTTCTCTGCTGATCGGATCAGCTGATAAGCGGCTTAGCGGCTTAGAAAAGGGGGGGGGACCAGCAGGAACTCGCAAGACATTGTCGTCTTGCGAAGCAAGCCCATAGGAAATTCGTTTTGCGAAGCACCTCCAAAACGGAAAACTCTTTCGTCTAGCGAGTTTTCCGTCTTGCGAGGTATTCGTCTTGCGGGGCACCACTGTAATTATTATTTGCCTTACCTTTTTTAAATGTTCAAAAATCACTATTTTCTTTCACAACTCCCAAGGAATGAATGGATCCTGTGCATTTCTATTGGGCTTTTGCTGAATAACTACATGGTGGATTATGCTTATGCTTTTCCTTACTTTTTACGTCTTATATTTATATATGATTTAATATTTATAAAAAAGAGGTTTTCAAAAGACAATATCTTTATCAATGAAAAAAAGAGGCTTTTGCCACTTTTGTTTTCCCCTCACTTTGTTCCCATAGTTCTCTCCAGCACTGCCTTCTCTCATGCACTTCCATACTTCATATTTATTTAACCATTTATTTTCTATTACTCTATTTGAGACATACATTCTTCCTATTAATGTCACCCCTACAGTTTTCCTAGCAAAAATACCAACATATTGTTCAAACAGACAGCACACTAAAGAGTGATCAAACTTTGGTTTCAAATTTTTAAAATTTATGCTGCACAAATAAAATATCATAGGGATATATGGATTTTAGAAAGTCGCTTGTGGCTTGACCTTCAGGAGCCATGCACTTCAGTAAGATATTTGGTGTATTGTGAATCTGTGGAAATTTGTAAGATTTACTTTCTGATTGCAATATAATCTCCCAATTCCTCTCCTTATTCTAACTGCCCTTCATTTACATTAGAGTATTTCAGATTTTAGATAATATAAACGATTCTTTATCAGTTGCTTGAAGTGACAATGATATTTTATATTGCTTCTTTCATCAAAGCTGCCGGGCTTGTTAAATAGGCAATCAGTATATTGAGTTGAACATTAGAAATGTCACTTGGGAGAGATTTTTTTTTTTAAAAAATTCACAAATATATTAGAGTGCCCAACAATAGAGAAATATGAACATTTCATAGCAAATGTTTTGGCTTCCGCCATCCACACCTACTCTGAGGTGAAACAAAAGGGTACAGTCAAGGCCTGGCCATGTGGTGGGTATATTTTTTTTGGGGGGGGAATGAACGAATTCCTATGCCCCACAAATAACCCAGAGATGCATTTTAAATAAAACCACACATTCTACTCATGTAAAAACATGCTGATTCCTGGACCGTCCACAGCTGGATTGAGAAGGCGATTGGGCCGCATCCAGCCCCCGGGCCTTAGG